AGAGAGAGAGAGAGAGAGAGAGAGAGAGAGAGAGTAAAGAAAAAAGAGAAAGACCGTAAACACACGAACAGAAAGACATGATTGTCTTTAAAAGTGGAACACCAATGAAGAAATAATAATGTATACACTATACATAACGTATGAATAAATCTACATATATATATAAAATGAGAGATAGATTAATAAAAAATCTCAAGCCGTTACATATCATTATTATTCACTAACGCTTATTATTTACCTTACCTGATGAAGCACAATTAACACCTACCATCCTCGAAAGTTCGTGTAACTTAATTCCCCCCCTCCCGCTCCCCCGGGATACTTCACAAAATATTCATAAATATTTAATTCACAGGATATACGCAGGATACGATTATGAAGCTAAAGATAGATGTACGAAATAAGGGAACGGCATTTGATTGAAAGGGATCGATTTAATTGATTTAAAATAACAGATTATATGGTACATGCGAATCCCGAACAAAATGCGCCGCATCGAGATGCAATACGTAAGGACGGAAAACGTGTTCATAAAAAATAACAACGTTGCTCCGCGATTGTGAAATGTCACGCTCGGTGGCATTTCACGTCGTCGAGAAGTGTAAATAATCACAGTTCGCAGGACGTCGCGTCGAATAAAAATTTCACAAATTTATAAAGTCTAAAAGTGCCCCTCTGTGCGCGGACATGTCGCGTTACGTTCGATCGCATAATGTATAATTCTCATTGTTACACGCGCCTACGAATCGAAAGTAGATTTATATATATATATAAAAAAAAAAAAAAAACGCGAGAAAAAATAATTTCACCTACAAAATGATGATTAAAATCGAGAAATCGTGCGCGGAATCGTCTTTCTCACGCGAAGTCACACGTTGATTTGAACCGCGTCGCTGCGGTTAATTAATCCACGAAAAACGCGAAAACGACTTACAAAAAAAACTTGCTAATGCGTAACGCAGTTCAACTTCAAGCCTCTCAGCCCTTTTTCGTCCCCTTGCTAATGCCTATATTTGCCTGCCTTTCCCGGTAAATTGAATTTCGTTGTACAATTTAAGAAGCTCATCTAGGCTAATTCTCAAATGAGGTAACAATTAAAACGCTCGCTTTGTTTGTCCCATGTACAATAAACAGTTTGTCTCTCCAGGAATATATTTTCTTGCTATACATTTCTCTCTGGCACTGTTATTTGCGCGTAATTTTTAGACGATTAAAAAGTTGGCAGAGACAACGTCGTATCTTTTTAAAGAGAAATGATGAATGTTATTCAAAAAAATTCTGCATATTTCGTCGAGTAAATAATTCTTACAAAGCAATTAGCAATAATAATAATAATTAAAGGGAACGATACGACCTTCTTAAAAAAGTATCTTTTCCAACCGTGCCATTAGCTACTCGTATTATAATAATAATAATAATATTAATCTATTAGAAATTTTGTGCTGTCGATCAGGCTGTTTACTCGATCAAATATACGGGACATTATTTTTAATGGCATCCAACAAAACTTGAAAAATTTGATGACAGCCTCGTGCCAACTGACGCTTCAATTTTGAACGATATTTAATCAAGCTCCTGCACAACGTACAACGGCTCGCCCTGCATCTCCTTTTCGTCATTGCCATTTTCCTCCTCGTAGATATTTTCGATACCATCGGCCATATCATCGGTGGGACCCACAATGTGCATCGACTCGCTTTCATTCATCTGCTCATCCTCCTGCGACAAGATTACGGCGTTAACCTCGACGGAGCCCTCGCCAGGTTGATCAGACTTTTCCCGATTCTTCGACGTTGCCTGGCCTGAAAGGTCACATCGGCATATTTAATACGTCAAGATTCTTGCCACGCGGAAAAGGTGAAAAGTCGCGGGGTAAACAAGGCCGCGACAAGCAAAATTGGAATGAATGAATCCTTTATGTGCTTTGCGTACTCCGAGAATTATTACGGCGCATGAATTTGATTTCGCGGATCTGTCTCACCGCACGCGGAATACTTTTACGATAATTTACGACGAATTTCAGTATCTCCCGAACTGGTCTTTCCGTCAATAACGCTTTTATAGGAAGTCGGTAAACTTAATGCTGTAATGCTCTTATAATAAAAATATCAGAAAACATCGCGGTGGAAAAGTCGAAAAAAATGCACATGTCCAGCGTATGCAGAGAAAAAATTATTCTTAAATCAGGATAAGTATTCTCATAGATAAACAAGAATATTATAATCTTCTTCAAAATTTTATTAGTCTCGATTTAATTAAATTTGTATCGATGCAAATATATATTACTTTGCTCAATTCAAAACTAATCTTCCATACGAAGAATACTTATACTCGCATCGATACAAATTCAATCAAATCGAGACTAACTCTTCCTAAGAAGATCGTAATATCCTTGCTTATATATAAGAATATATATATATATATATATATATATGTGTGTGTGTGTGTATAAATAATCTTGACTCAAAGCAATTTTTTTCTGTGTATTCAAATACGCTTAGTAAGTATGCGTGTAGTAAATATGTATAGAGGGGTGTAGAGCGTGTAGTCGAAGTTTAATCATCTCCTTTGAGAGATACGCGACAAAGGCTACCGAGTCGGATATATTATACTGACCTTGGCCGAGATCTCGCGCTTTGCCCAGATAGGAGTACTCTCGCGCGTTCTCTAAACCCGCTATCACACAGGCGCTGAGTGCGCTGCGACTGAGATTCATAGGGGATGCATCGTACCATTCATTGTAATCCGCGTCGTAGCACTCGACGTACGCGATTGTGCTGGATCCTATTACGATAATGTTTTATTCGTTTTATCATAAGCGAGCTGCTTATTTTCACGCGAAGTGAATACCGCCCTTTGAAACAGCGCGTGATTTTTATGCAGCTCTCACGAAATTACATCATATTACATATTTTGAGCTTGACGGCAAAAAAAATGTAAAGCTCTCGAAAATTTTGCCTAATATTTTTCAGCGATTAACATTTTTTAAATTTTTGT